ATTTTTCCCCACCATTTCAGGTTCCTCCATGCTGGTGTTTTCCCAATTTTTTGTCATAGGGGCTGGCAGTTCAGGCCCCCCATAGCTGCTGTCGGGCCCCCTAATCTGCCATGGGCCCCTATACCGCCTCCTATGGGGCTGCCAGGCCTGTCTCTCATGGGTCCCTGTACGGCCTCCCATTGTGCTGTCTCCATCCCCCACACTCTGCCGGCCCATTTTCAGGTCCCTCACACATGTGGTGTGTTCCATTTTTTGTCATAGGGGCTGGCGTTTACGGGCCTCCCATATGCTGCTGCCTGGCCCTATCTGCCATGGGCCCCTTATACGCCTCCTCATGGCTAGCTACCAGGTCCACAGTGTTCTCATGCCATTTTGCCACTTTCATGGTCTTATCTCTCTGCTGGTGTGTTCCATTTTTTGTCATAGGGTGCTGGCAGATTACGGGCCTCCCATAGCTGCTGCCAGGCCCCCTAATCTGCCATGGGCCCCTATACCGCCTCCTCATGCTGCTGCCAGGTCCACAGTCTCTCATGGGTCCCTGTACGTCCTCCCATTGCTGCTGTCTCCATCGCCACACTCTGCCATGTGCCACTTTCAGGTCTCCTCACACTGCTGGTTGTGGGCTTCCATTTTTTGTCATAGGGGTGCTGGCAGATTACGGGCCTCCCATAGCTGCTGCCAGGCCCCTAATCTGCCATGGGCCCCCTTACCGCCTCCTCATGCTGCTTCTGCCAGGTCCAGAGTCTCTCATGGGTCCCTGTACGGCCTCCCATTGCTGCTGCTGTCTCCATCGCCACCACTCTGCCATGTGCACACTTTCATGGTCTCCTCACACTGCTGCTGTGGTTCCATTTTTTGTCATAGGGTGCTGGCAGATTTTTCGGGTCCTCCCCCCATGCTTATTGCCCGTGCCCTTGGACGCCTTAAACTGCCTTGGGCCCTGGTACTGCCTCCCTCTTGCTGCTGCCCAGGTCCACAGTGTCTCATGGGTCCCATGTAACGGAACTCCTCCATTGCTGACTTGTCTCCACGCCAACATACTCTGCCATGTGCCACTTTCAGGTCTCCTCACACTGCTGGTGTGTTCATTTTTTGTCATAGGGTGCTGCAGATTACGGGCCTCCCATAGCTGCTGCCAGGCCCCTAATCTGCCATGGGCCCCTAATACCGCCTCCTCTTGCTGCTGCCACCGTCCAGATCTGCTTTGGGTACCTGTACAGTGTCTGGTCATGCCATGTGCCACTTTCAGGTCTCCTCACACTGCTGGTGTGTTCCATTTTTTGTCATAGGGTGCTGGCAGATTACGGGCCATCCCATTGCTGCTGCCAGGCCCCTAATCTGCCATGGGCCCCTGTACCGCCTTCCTCATGCTGCTGCCAGGTCCAGAGTCTCTCATGGTCCCTGTACGGCCTCCCATTGCTGCTGTCTCCATCGCCACACTCTGCCATGTGCCACTTTCAGGTCTCCTCACACTGCTGGTGTGTTCCATTTTTTGTCATAGGTGCTGGCAGATTACGGGCCTCCCATAGCTGCTGCCAGGCCCCTAATCTGCCATGGGCCCCTATACCGCCTCCTCATGCTGCTGCCAGGTCCAGAGTCTCTCATGGGTCCCTGTACGGCCTCCCATTGCTGCTGTCTCCATCGCCACACTCTGCCATGTGCCCACTTTCAGGTCTCCTCACACTGCTGGTGTGTTACATTTTTTGTCATAGGGTGCTGGCAGATTACGGGCCTCCCATAGCTGCTGCCAGGCCCCTAATCTGCCATGGGCCCCTGTACCGCCTCCTCATGCTGCTGCCAGGTCCACAGTGCTCATGGGTCCCTGTACGGCTAACCCCATTGCTGCTGTCTCCATCGCCACACTCTGCCATCTGCCACTTTCAGATCTCCTCACACTGCTGGTGTGTTCCATTTTTTGTCATAGGGTGCTGGCAGATTACGGCTGTACCTCCTAGCTGCTGCCAGGCCCCTAATCTGCCATGGGCCCCTATACCGCCTCCTCATGCTGCTGCCAGGTCCAGAGTCTCTCATGGGTCCCTGTACGGCCTCCCATTGCTGCTGTCTCCATCGCCACACTCTGCCATGTGCCACTTTCAGGTCTCCTCACACTGCTGGTGTGTGTTACATTTTTGTCATAGGGTGCTGGCAGATTACGGGCCTCCCATAGCTGCTGCCAGGCCCCTAATCTGCCATGGGCCCCTATACCGCCTCCTCATGCTGCTGCCAGGTCCAGAGTCTCTCATGGGTCCCTGTACGGCCTCCCATTGCTGCTGTCTCCATCACCACACTCTGCCATGTGCCACTTTCAGATCTCCTCACACTGCTGGTGTGTTACACTTTTTGTCATAGGGTGCTGGCAGATTACGGGCCTCCCATTGCTGCTGCCAGGCCCGTAATCTGCCATGGGCCCCCGTACCGACTCCTCATGCTTGACGTTGCAACAAGGTGGAATTCAACCCTACATATGTTAGACCGCCTTTACGAACAGCGAAAGGCCATCACAGATTTCCTGATCTTACAAGCGGATAAAGGTACTACCTGTGTAACTTAGATGTCAGCATTGGCAGCTCATGCGTGACACCTGCGCTTGCTCAGGCCCTTTGAGGAGGCCACGCTATTCGTGAGGTCGGCAGGACTATGGGGATGAACGACGTCATTCCTCTGTTGCACGTCCTGGAACAAATGCTGTTAACAATGGCTGGTCAGGGTGCGGTAGACGTGGCGCACAGATCTCAACGCCACATGACCCCTGTGGGGGCAGGACAGGAAGAAGAAGAGGAGGAGGTAGAGGAGGACATTGGTGCTCAGGAATTATTGAGTGAAATGGGTGGTTTTTCCACTCAGCGGACAGGAGTGGAGGAGCAGGAGCATCTGGTAGAGGAGGAGGAGGAGGAGACAGAGGACCCAGACGCACCGTGGCAGTATGCTGTGGAGATGGAGGCAGGGAGTCCCTCGCATTCCTTGGCACAAATGGCCCATAGCATGCTCGCTTGCTTGCGTAGCGACAGCCGAATAATAACCATCAGACAGAGAGGGATGACTTTTGGCTGTCCACCTTGTTGGACCCTCGCTACCGTTCAAAAATGGTGGCCTTTTTCACACCTGCTGAGAGGGAGGCCAAAATAACGTACTATTAAAAACCCTCCTATGTAGTCAGCTGGTCTCTGCCTTTCTGCGCCAACGTCCATCTTCAGACACTGTGGGCCCTGTGCGCTCGCGTTCCGCTGCCATGGCAGCAGGGGAGGGGTGGGGTGGGTAGGAGCAGTGGCAGCTCCACCAGCAGCGGCTGCCTCAGTCTGCAGTCGATGATGAGTAGCTTTCTTCACCAGCGCAGTGAGGAAACTACTACCAACCAGCCGCAGCAAGCAGCAGCATCAGGTGGACCTGGAGCAGGACCTCAAACAACAGGCTTAGGCCTACTTGGACAGCACCCTGCCAAAAACCGAGGTAGACAATCTCCTTGACTACTGGGCAACGAAACTTGACCTTTGGCCCCAACTAGCTGAATTTGCCCTTGAAAGGCTGTCATGCCCGGCCAGTAGCGTGGCATCGGAGCGCGTGTTTAGTGCGGCAGGAGAGGTATTGTAACTCCGCGGAGGACACGGCTGTCCACCCAAAGTGTGGAGAGACTCACGTTTGTGAAAATGAATCAGGCGTGGATTAGTCTGGGATTTCAAAACCACCAGTTCCTGACACAACTGACTAAATCCGCCATGAATCATGCCCCAAACATGTGCCACTTTCAGGTCTCCTCACACTGCTGGTGTGTTCCATTTTTTGTCATAGGGTGCTGGCAGATTACGGGCCTCCCATTGCTGCTGCCAGGCCCGTAATCTGCCATGGGCCCCTGTACCGCCTCCTCATGCTGCTGCCAGGTCCAGAGTGTCTCATGGGTCCCTGTACGGCCTCCCATTGCTGCTGTCTCCATCGCCACACTCTGCCATGTGCCACTTTCAGGTCTCCTCACACACTGCTGGTGTGTTCCATTTTTTGTCATAGGGTGCTGGCAGATTACGGGCCTCCCATAGCTGCTGCCAGGCCCCTAATCTGCCATGGGCCCCTGTACCGCCTCCTCATGCTGCTGCCAGGTCCACAGTGTCTCATGCCATGTGCCACTTTCAGGTCTCCTCACACTGCTGGTGTGTTCCATTTTTTGTCATAGGGTGCTGGCAGATTACGGGCCTCCCATTGCTGCTATCAGGCCCCTAATCTGCCATGGGCCCTGTACCGCCTCCTCATGCTGCTGCCAGGTCCAGAGTGTGTCATGGGTCCCTGTACGGCCTCCCATTGCTGCTGCCAGGAGGCAGCAGGGTCGCAGCAGTGTCAGTGGAGGCAAACGGCCACGGAGTAGAGCACCAGCTCCACTGCAGCCTACCACCACGGCCAGTAGTGGTGCCGGTGTGCACGGAGGAAGTAGTAGGCAGTCAGCCAGTGAGGAGTAGCGGGGGCAAAGTTTCCTACTCGGCGGGTGTGGCAATTTTTCGTCAAGCCGCCCTCCCGAGGAAGTAAACGTAGCCGTATGTCGACTATGTGGCCAGAAAGTCAAGCGTGGCCAGGGGGCCCATGTTGGGGACTACAGCGTTGCGTCAGCATATGCAGCGTCTCCATTTGGTGGCCTGGGAAAACCGTGATAAAGATACGGCGGGTTCTGCCTGCCCCAGCCCAGGGTTCCATTTTTTGTCATAGGGTGCTGGCAGATTACGGGCCTCCCATTGCTGCTGCCAGGCCTTAATCTGCCATGGGCCCCTGTACCGCCTCCTCATGCTACTGCCAGGTCCACAGTGTCTCATGGGTCCCTGAACCGCCTCCCATGCTGCTGTCTTTATCACCACACTCTGCCATGTGCCACTTTCAGGTCTCCTCACACTGCTGGTGTGTTACATTTTTTGTCATAGGGTGCTGGCAGATTACGGGCCTCCCATTGCTGCTGCCAGGCCCGTAATCTGCCATGGGCCCCAGTACCGCCTCCTCATGCTGCTGCCAGGTCCACAGTCTCTCATGGGTCCCTGTACGGCCCTCCCATTGCTGCTGTCTCCATCTCACCACACTCTGCCATGTGCCACTTTCAGGTCTCCTTACACTGCTGGTGTGTTCCATTTTTTGTCATAGGGTGCTGGCAGATTACGGGCCTCCCATAGCTGCTGCCAGGCCCCTAATCTGCCATGGGCCCCTGTACCGCCTCCTCATGCTGCTGCCAGGTCCAGAGTCTCTCATGGGTCCCTGTACGGCCTCCCATTGCTGCTGTCTCCATCGCCACACTCTGTCATGTGCCACTTTCAGGTCTCCTCACACACTGCTGGTGTGTTCCATTTTTTGTCATAGGGTGCTGGCAGATTACGGGCCTCCCATTGCTTCTGCCAGGCCCGTAATCTGCCATGGGCCCCCGTACCGACTCCTCATGCTGCTGCCAGGCCCGTAATCTGTCATGGGCCCCTGTTGTCGCTTGTTGGCATATTCCGCTCGTTCAGATGCTCCTTCTCCTGCTACTCCTCTTCACGGATTCCGTCAGCAGTCTTTCTTGGAATCCGTTTCCAAGAGACAACAGTTTGCGAGCATGCACCCGACGGTGCAGAACTGAAAATCCTCCTGTCCAAGTTGCTGCTGCCAGGCTCGTAATCTGTCATGCGCCCCTGTACCGCCTCCTCATGCTGCTGCCAGGTCCAGAGTGTGTCATGGGCCCCCGTACCGACTCCTCATGCTGCTGCCAGGCCCGTAATCTGTCATGGGCCCCTGTACCGCCTCCTCATGCTGCTGCCAGGTCCAGAGTGTGTCATGGGTCCCTGTACGGCCTCCCATTGCTGCTGTCTCCATCGCCACACTCTGCCATGTGCCACTTTCAGGTCTCCTCACACTGCTGGTGGTTTCCATTTTTGTCATAGGGTGCTGTATGGCCTCCCATTGCTGCTGCCTCCACCGCCACACTGTGGCTCCACACTCTGGTTTTGGCCCCGTGACTGCCCAAATGAGTGAAGTGTGCGGTGATTCTAAGATCGACAGCACTCATCTGCATGTCATACTGACTGTCAGTATTATTTCTCTTCCCCAGCAGACTCCAAGGGCATTTAAATTAAAGGTACAGTGTTCTGCACTAATATAAAGGCTCTCTGAAGCCTAGAAACACCCTTTTATAAGTTAAATTCGCAGCGAATATATTCGACTCGAATCGAAATTTTTTCACGAATTCGCCGAATCAGTCGAATCGAATTTTTGAATAATTCGCTCATCTCTAGTGAAAGGCATTAAGGTGCTAATATTTAAAAAAAGGCAGAGATATATACCTGGAAACTACAGGTTAGTCAGTCTAACATCAATAGTATTTAAACAGAGGAGATGATAAGAGACTATATCCAAGAATTTGCACATGAAAACAGCATCATTAGCAGTAACCTCATGGATTTCTGAAATATCATTCTTGCCAGAGCAATCTGTTACCATTTTAGTGAGCTAGTGAGTTCCTATCTACTGTAGATAAGGGAAGTCCTATGGATGTAGTATATCTGGATTTTGCAAAAGCATTTGATAAGGTTACTCATAAAAGCTTAATTTAAAAACTGAGGTCTGTAGGCATGGACCATATTGTTTGTATGTGGATAGAAAACTGGTTCCAGGGGCACATACAAAGGGTGGTGATAATTAGCATGTACTCAGAATGGTCTGGAGTGGGGTACTCCAAGGCTCTGTCCTGGGACCTATTCTGTTTAACTTAATCATAAACAATATAGAGGTTGGTATAAATAGCTCAATCTCAGTGTTTGCTGACCATACAAAGCTAAGTAGGGCAATAGCGCCACACCAGGATATAGACATTTTACAAGAAGACCTCAATAAAAGAAAGGGGTGGGCAACTACATGGCAAATGAGGTTTATTGTTGAAAAATGTAAAGTAATGCACTTGGAGGTCAAAAATATGAATGCAAGTTACTTGTTAGGAGGATAGCCATTGAGGGATTCCAGGATGGAAAAGATCTGGGAGTCTTAGTAGATCACAGGCTCAGCAATGACATGCAATGTCAAGCTGCAACAAGCAAATCCAGCAGAATATTAGCATGCTAAAAAGGGGATTTACTCAAGAGCTAAGACTATAATTCTACCACTTTTCAAAACTCTGGTTCAGCCACAGCCTGAGCATGCCGTCCAGTTCTGGACACTGATCCCCAGGAAAGATGTGCTTGAACTGGAAACATTCCAGAGGAGGGCGACAAAGCTAATAAGGGCATTGGAGGAGCTTAGTTACTAGGAATAACTACAAACATTATGTTATAAATATATAGTGCCGCGCTCCTATTTGCTTATATGTATATCTTGATCCTTGAGGTATATGAATTAATATCTGAAACAATTCATAAATCACTGTGACTAGTGAATAAAAATAATCAATATTAAATAAATAATAATAAATCACTAGTGAATCACTATAACTGGTGAATCAAAAAAATAGATAAAAATATGAATCAACAACCTTCATAAATGTGACTGATAACAATCAATCCTTAATTGAATGTGACTATAAAAGAATTAAATTCAAATCAACACAATTCTAAATCTGTGCCCCTCTGATCTGCTGTGATCACTCCATCTATATTGTGCAAAAGCATACATATAAGTGCAAGTGCAAATACATAAAATAAAAAACTATAAATTAAAATTAAAAAGTCTTTCAAATAAGTGCAGTGTGCAGGTGGATTCCTTATTCCCTCTCGCCGAGTGCTTAGTGGTCTCCCTATGCGCTCACCTTAATATTTGCCTGAATAAATTCAGGCAAATACGCTTTTAATCCTTCCAGGATTGATGGGATGATACTCTTATATAAGCTGTTCCAGTGGGTAGGTATGGATTTATAGGGATTCTCCTGTGCTCTCCTCTTTCCCTTTGTGCAGCTGCTCATAAATGGACTTCCTGATCAGCTCTCTAGGAATCTCCTACTTCCCCTCCTGGGGTCACCACCTTCTCAAGTCCTCCTTTCACCAGCATGAGGAATGTGGGTCAATTGAAAGAGAGAAGAAAAAAAGACCATGGTGCCTTATCCTTGTATGTAAAGGAAATTTATTGCTGCCAGTTGCGGTATTACACGGCTTTGATGTTATCCAGGACAGCCTTGATGGTAACATACAGTAGTACTCTGCCTCTGCCTCTGTAATGCTGTCTGCCTCCGTCTGCACTGGAATCACCGAGCCTCTCCGATGCAACGTCGTGACGTCAGAGCCCCTCCCCTACGCGTTGCGTCACAGGGTCACGTGACTTCATCAGGGGGAAATGATGTGTTGATTTGAATTTAATTCTTATAGTCACATTCAATTAAGGATTGATTGTTATCAGTCACATTTATGAAGGTTGTTGATTCATATTTTTTATCTATTTTTTTGATTCACCAGTTATAGTGATTCACTAGTGATTTATTATTATTTATTTAATATTGATTATTTTTATTCACTAGTCACAGTGATTTATGAATTGTTTCAGATATCCCATATACCTCAAGGATCAAGATATACATATAAGCAAATAGGAGCGCGGCACTATATATATTATAACATTATATATACACTAGCAAGTGAGTCTGTGCAAGTGCCAGCGCACCAAGCACATTAAATCAGCAGATTATTTCATACCACCCACTGAATGCCTCATTGATAATAGCTCACAAGTATTCACTATTTATATATTTTTAACTACAAACATTAAACTTATTCTTCCTGGAGAAGAGATGCTTGGGAGGAGATATGATAGCAACATGCAAAAACCTCAATGGTAATTCCAGCATAGGGAAAAAACTATTCAGTTTCAGGGAGTTTAAAAAGACACATGGCCACTCTATGAAATTGAAGGAGAAGTGATTCAACCTTAAACTGTGAATGGGGGTTCTTTACTGTTACTATGGTAAGGATGCGGAACTCCCTTCCACAATCGGTGGTATCAGCGGCAAGTGTTGATTAGTTTAAAAAAAAAAAAAACGCTTAGATGGGTATCTTAGTAAATGTTATATACAGGGATATGGGAAATAATATTGACATAAACACACATACACACACCCATACAGGTTTAACTGGCTGACTGGTGTCTTTATCCACCGTTACAGAGCATGGAAAAGTTCAGCCTCTGATTGTATGGAGATAGAAAATCACTCTCTAATGATGGACAACAATGTGCTAAACGTTGAGAGCAAGGCTTGGATTAATTCTATGAAATAGACACAATGAGGCTTCTCTCCTGGATTGGATGGAAAGATGTAATATTACTCTTGTACAGGTTAACCTCCCTAACGGTATTCCCGAGTGTAGCTCGGGGTAAAATGTCTGTACCAAAAGCGGTAACCCCGAGCTACACTCGGGCTTACCATGCGGCGCTGCATAGGGAGTCCCTGCAGCACTTACCTTGTCCTTCGCTCCCACAATGTGTCCCCTGCAGCGTCCCCGGCCATCTCCTCCGGCTGATGCCGGCATCCGGCTCCTGTGTTCCGGTCCCTGTGACGTCGGGACGTATGGGCGCCGCCGCCGCCGCTGGCGAGAAATTTGAAAATTTAAAAAAAAATGTCATTTTTTTCAAAAACGATTTTACATAGTAAAACATTGCTGTTTCAACCCATTTCACATACATTTTGTCCCTAGTGCTCTGTCCTGTCCCCTGTCTGCATTTTGAATGTTCTTTCTGCCTGGAAACTTAGAAAAGTCCATGGCGTCCAAAAAGTGTCCCTTTAGGTCAAAAGCGGGTTTAGATCAGCTAGAGAACAGCGATAGTAAATCAGAACCACTTGCAGAATTGAGTGATAATGATTCGTGGAGAAATTCGTCATCAGACACTGAAAACAATTTTGCGACTTTGCTCAGCGATGTGCGAACTTGACGCTATATTTCAAATTTCAGTGTTTTTGGTTTGATTATATTATTGAATTAAATGTAATATTATTATATTATTATTTTTTATGATTATTTATTAAATTATAATTTATGATTTTGTGTTTCAAATTTTATCATACCCGGGATGTTTAATAGACTCTTGTTCAGACAGATTTCAGTGAGTTATTCCTAAATATTACAGCCTACAATAAAAAAACTACATATTTCCATGCAAAATAATGGTACCGCTTCTTCAGCACCAAAAATCTGAAATAATCATACCGCCAGGGAGGTTAATGGTTAGAGGAAATATGGTGACCCTCCTGCAGGCTGGGTTGGAGAAGCTTCTCCACTGGGGACAGAAATATTTATCAACAATCTCCCTCCAGAATTCTATGAAAATAAACGAATTCCACATTTTCAGGCTGCTGGAACATTGTATGAGTCTTGTCTTATGATGACTTTTCTAGTGGACAAAGAATAAAGCCCCAAAGAATAAAGCCCCCTCTCAAAAACCCAAGCCCATAGTCATTAGGCAAGAGGTTAGCATGCAGTCCCCTCCAAAGGGGCAGATTGAAAGCAACGGGAACAATTGTCTTCTCCAGTTGTCAGTCAAACTCTATTACAAGGAAGCAGGGGGTGGGTTGACACAGTGAGCGGGGCTTAGGAGTGAGCCCACATGAGTGCTCCATGGGAAGCTGGTTCCTACGGGGACACTCACTGTAGAGGAGGAGCTAGGAGCACCAGTGGGGGACCCAAGAAGAGGAGGATCAGGGCTGATCTATGCAAAACCTAAACAGGGGCACTAAATGGCATTTTGTTTCAGTAAACTGGGAAATCATTTTATTTTTTCTCAAAATGCTTCCTCATTTGCTGTTACTAAGACAGGAAGTAAGAAGAAATGTCGCCATGTGGGACAAAGCTGACAGTAAAAAGCCAGAGAAACAGCCTTTCCTCATATTATCCAAAACAACACAAAAAAATGTTGGCTTGACATCTACATTAAATCTGAAGTCTGTGGTTTACATACAGCAGTCCTTAAAGTCTTACATTTCAACCACTATGGGATTGTGATGGGGGGAGTGCTAAAGATAGTTCAGTTCAGGACAGTGAGGCTTATGGACTTAGAAAATTTAATACATTTCAGGTTAAAACAGCATATTGCATGTGTACTCAAACTAAATCAAACTAGAATCAAACTAACAAATCACCCATCCAACCTTTTTACCTTTAACATCTGAAAAACCTGCCAATATCCAAAAAGAAAAACACATCATTATACATATTATTATCTATTGTTTTTTGATACAAAATATTGGCTAAAATTTAAAGGATAACTTTACCTTTGGAACATGTTACACATTCCAACCATTTTTAGGATGGAACATGTAACACGGACTGATATGAATGTACAATATATATATAATAAGCGCCGTAAACTGATAGCACTATATAAGTACCTGTAATAAATAAATAATAATAACATGTTCCAGCATCTGCAGCCTCTTCCTCCAGATACCCCTTTCCCTGTGACATTGGGCAGGGGATCCTCTCCCTACACCCGCTGTCGCAATTTGAAAACAACATGACCGCTGAAACAGCAGTATCATTCATTCTCAGTTTTCTGTGAATTAATGCCTACAAGTACCATTATCCATTGTGGCTTATGGCATGTAGTTGTCAATGAATTATGAGGGAGCTGATGAGCACTATTGTAGTCTATTGGTCTACCTGCTCCAAAGTAACTGCCTGCTCATATGAGGTATGGGCTGACAGCTATGCTGAGAGTATGAAGGAGCCTGAGAATGCACCTGAGATCTGCTGATCATGGGTGCAATGCTCTGCAGGCTCCTTAGAAAAAAATACATTCACATTTTTTACCTGCCAAAAGATGTGCATTTATTATTTTTTTTCAAAAGGTGAATTTATCCTTTAACAATGAGTAAGATAACAAAAAGAATATAATCACAATGAAAATAACAGAAACATTTTTGTGAAGTTGAGTCTTTTGAGCTAAGTGGCATTAAAATGTGCACTAGCGGAGCAAGCTGATGATTGTAAAGTCCTTCTTCCTCCAGCCAGAATACTGGTTCTGGAGCTTCTTTTATGCTTGAGCTGCTTAATTGCCCATTTACACCTGTGTTGTGGTGCCATTCATTTTAATTGGCACCCCAATGCATTAATGCAACACGTGTTGCATTACACAATAGGGATAACGCTCAATTTTCCAAACATTAAGGTCCTTTGGACGGTCATTCTTTTCAATGGGCTGCCTTAACACTAGTTACATTAACAAGAGATATAATGTATGCTATTGCACCGCAAATAAGTAAATGGGTGTTAGAGATTTTGTATATAGTATATAGCCCTACAGAACAGACAGTGCACATGTGTTATTCTGCTGCTTCTCTGCTAACAGGAAACAGAAACTTTATAATAAAGAAAAGACATAGCCTTTAACCATAGATAGAGCTACAAACACTGCCATCTACTGGTTGAAGAAAATACCTCTATTTAATACTGATACTGAGTAGTTGTCAGACAAAAATATATGAACATGGTATTCCAAAACCCCCCACTCAACAATTACTCCTTATATTAGTCCAATTTCAGATCTCAGCTTTATAAATCTGTTTCTTATAAGCGGTTTTGTCAAAACATCTGATCCACTTTTGTTTCTCATGGATTGGAAGTCTTTATATCTCATCCCATGAATCAGGTTCTAGTTCTAATATTACATGAGCAACATAGGACAGACGTTTGACTGGGATGTCTTTACTGTTTCTGGTGGATTTCCTAATTGAAGCCTCTTGTGGCCTGGTTTCTTCTTTTACAGTATTTGGGTTGTCTGTGTTAATTCCTATTTCTGTGTCACTTTGTTGCTTATCTTCATATGACACTGATGTGGAATTTCCCTCAGTTTGAAGGGTTTCATTGACAATCGCACTTCTACTTATGGTTACCTTGTTTGTGCCTTGGTGTAGAATTCTGTATCCCTTTTGAGAGTACACCTTCCTTAGTGCGAGCATGCCATTTTGTACGTTTTTCTTTTGGGACGTGCACATAGGCTTTGCTTCCAAAAATTTGGGACCTTTCCATTTTGCAATTCATGTGGATTTTTCTCAGTTGCTTTTCCTGGTAGTCGATTTTGGAGATAGCATACAGTCATAATTGCCTCCCCTCAGTATGTGGTTGGCATATCTGCATCAAACAGTATGGTTCTGCCACTCTGACGTAGAGTACAGTGCATTCTTTCTGCAACCTCATTTTGTTCTGGGTTGTATGACACAGTAGTTTAAACTATTATGGCATGCTTTCTGAGAATCACCTGTGTTATCACCTGTATATTCAGTTCCATTGGCTTTGTACAATACACTCGGCATTTTGCCAAATTTGTTGCTTATTTTAGCCAAATACAGTTTTTCTGGTGTTTCACTTTTGTTGTGTAACAGACACAGTGTAGTATACCTGGAGTAATCATTTATAAATGTGAAAAAATACCTCTTCTTTCCTGGAGTAAATTTTTTCATTGGACAACAAAGATCTGAATTATGTATGTCCAGAGGTTTCTTAGCTCTGCTGTTACTCTGCTTTGGAAAGACACATGGACATCATATTCCAACAATGAGCCCTTAATCAAAACAATGCAATCAAACTATAAACTAAAGGGGTTAGCTTGGCCAGCCACAAACTCTCATCATGAGACATGAGCAGTGTTTAGACCACAAATTTACCATGTCCTGGCAAGCATTTCCTCTGTACTGCATTTCATTCAACTGACTGACACCTCAGAAGCAAAGGAACCTCTCCTTCTAATTTTCTGTGACAGTCTGCAATAGAAATATACATTAGACTTCAGAACCATAACAGCATCCAATTTCAGCACCAAGTCTTTAAATTTCTCATGCTCACTTAAGGAATCTGTGTCACCAACCACACAAAATGTTAAATTAAATGCTTACTTGCATTTTTCTGTTCTACAAACAATCTTTTATTTACTTCCAAATTGCTTTTGAACTTGCTAAAAAAAAGTAAATTCCCTAGCACAGTCCCCTCTTTTTTGCATGCCATATCCTCTTCTTTTCTGGGAGAGTCTATTTACTGCCTGTGTTGACCTAACTCCTTCACCCTCTCGCCCCCCACCACCATCCCTCACATCCCTAATAAATATTTTATACAGCTGCCAAGGTAGAAGCAAATGGGATTACTATAGAGCAGTGGTCTCCAAACTGTGGCCCAGGGGCTAGATGTGGCCCTTTTCCTTGCTTTTATTTTACCCTTGAGGAACTATTTTCATCCACTGATACCAACAATGGGGCATAATGTCCCCCCACTGACACCAATGGGGCCGAATTTCTCCCAATGACACCACTGATGAGGCAAAATTCCTCCCAATGACTCCACTGATGGGCACAATTTCTCCAACTGACACCAAAGATGGAGCGTTATTTATTCCCACTGACATTGGGACCTTTTCTACTCCCAGTGGCCGTAGTCTGACCCCCCTAAAGTCTGAAGAATAGTAGACTTGCCCTTTGTTTATAAAGCTATAGAGTATCACTTGAGTGAAAATTGTGAGTCTGCTAGAGCTGCTGACATCACATTTAAGATCGTTTCACCCAACAGCAGTCTCAGGCCTTTTGGATGTCTACACAAGGTCGGCTTTTACAGGTAAATAGCATGCATAAAATATGTTAGATGCACATGTAGCACATCTATAGGTGTTGACTTTAAAGGATAAGTTCACCTTTCGTAACATGTTACATGTTACACACATATTCAGGGTGTAATATGTAACATGATATGATCAGGCTGGCTCCCGCCCCCCCCCATCCCTGATTTGACAGCTAGCGGGGATCTTCTCCCCCATCGCTAGATGTAAAATTTTTAAAAACGTGGCCTTGTGGGGCTCTGCTATCTTAATGGCTTCACAGAAACTGATTAATATTTTATAGACTGGTAATGGCCTATACAACTACTTTTTTTTTTCTAAAATTCTCTTTGACAGATAAAGTATACTATACTGTATGTCCAGATAGAAATGCATGTGAAAGTAGGGTTTTGTTAGTTTTAAACTTTCTTCCATCTGGTTTCTGCTTGTTCTAGAAGCACCCAAGCTTCTCCTTCCTCAAGCCTCCACATAAAGCTACCTGTATACATAGATTTTACATGTGCTGCGTAATGGAGTGAGAGGGATATGTGTCTCCTGTGAGTGTTTCACATTTTTTACTCTCTTCAAGCAGCTAGATGTCAATGACTATCATGTAAATCACTATGAATAGAAATCCTGTGTCTACACATTCTGCATGTTTTTCATTTGTTATGACTACCACAAACCAATCCTATTGCAATACGCTAAACCAAAAACATTACGTATTCAATTATTTACTGACAGAGCCAGGGGCGGACTGACCATTCGAGCACTCGGGCACTGCCCGAGGGCCTGGGGTCAGTAGAG